AACTGCCTCGAGGGTGCTTGACCATTTTAACACAACGTGGTGCGATCATCCCCCTTGCGCGGAGTGAGGGTTCTCCACCCCGCACAACATGATCTACTCGACCACCATTATGGTTACCGCAAAAAAAAAAACGTCCAACCTAGATGGGGGAGTTCAATTTTTCATGTGCACGGAGGGTGTCTCCATTGTTGGGTGGGGTATATCAGGAGGGTGTCGTTGCCCAGTGCATCAATTGGCGAGAGGAAAAGCGATAGGGGCACCTCCAAACACGGCAGCAGTGCGACGAGGTTCAAAATGGGAAGCACTGGGTTAGAAGAGTGGTTCCTGTCACGCTGCTGTGGCGAAGCTGGAATCTTTCACAAGCACACTCCGGTTTGAAAGAACGGAAGCGTTTATTACACGCGCTCTTCTACCACAGTGCACGCCGTTCCATGCACGTAGGTTGGCACCCCTTGTTCTCGTCCGGCTTGGCCTTGTTGAAGGTGTTGTACACAACGCACGTTTCACACACTGAGTTTCATAAAACAGGTCTTGGTGGGGCGGGGGTCGAGCAAACAGCTTGGTCGGATCTGCTGCTGCTGTGATTTTGTCCTTTCGTGCTTGCCGTGAGAAGTGAAAGCTGTCCATGTTGTTTCGCCGTAATACAGGTGTATGTATAATTGTTTACTTCGAAGTATTTATATTGTCATCTTTCCCGTGATCTGTCCATAAGTGTTGGCCCGCTGTTGGTGAATCCCTGCCTGTGTCCACCAGGATTTATTGCGATTTCGATGGGTGCCTTGTGTAATGCCATTGAATGTTCGGGGTGTCGAACCGATGCGTTGGCCCTTTCATTTGCGGAGGACTCGGATGTTGCGGTCAAGCGGATGCATAGTTTGAGCATGCGCAGGACTTTGCTGCAACCTGCAAAAAGTGAGTGCATAGGTCCTTCCGGGCTTCAGCAAGGAGAACTCATGCGGAATCTTCTATCTCGACCTTGACGAGACCCACCAAAATAGTTGGTTGTATGCATACACGGAGTATAATGTTGCTTGGTGTGTCTTCGATCAACGTAATATCATATGTGGAAGTGTATGAATGCCCACAAACACCCTTGCTTACGGCGCCTCGTTGGGAAGAAACCTCCATACGGGACGCGGATGCCGCCATGCCGCTGTGAATAAATAGGCGCGGCTACCAATAGCAACGAAACATGCTGAAGGAGCAACCTGCTGTCGACGTGGCATCGGCTGTGCTTGCATTTTTCAGTACACGGTTGAATAAAAGTAGTTTGTCATAATGTGGACGCCCGGTTTGGCCGAGGAGTTGTGTCATCGTCGCGCGTCACACATTTATTCGTGATACCACCAGTGCGCTAACTGCATGCAGCAACGCGATCTTGAACTGAAGTATGATGCGTCTCCAGTGTGCTGCGTGGGCTTAACCGCACGCAATGTACCTGCGTGATCTGAACCTTATTCGCGTCAAGGAGTGAAGGCAAGCACCTCAGTGAGAACGACCGAGAAATCACCAGCGCCGTCCACCAGCAAGTAAGCTCCAGCGTCCTCCTTCTCCTCCTGTGCTACCACGGCTGGTGTGCGCTGAACATGTACCGAAAGGTGTAGGCTGATGCCCACTTGAGACCTTGCCCCTTTCTACCGCTGTGGGCCGATGGGAGCAAGGGGGAAAGCGTGTTCCACACCTCATCGCGTGGCCTCTTACCCCTGGCAGCTCAAGGACATTACGATGTATCGCAGGTTGTTGACTTGCAATTCTCCAATACATAGACTACTCCAGCAAGTTATTTCCTTTTCTTTCTTTCAGAAGACCATCAATCTCCTGCACAGACGGGGACGCTGAGACCACGCATGCTCGCGGAATTTCGTTTCTGGGAGGACCCGTTCCCCCCGTACCACACCCTTCTTTTGTCAATCAAATTGTAACGACGAAAATCCTTGGTGCGGTGTTGAAGAAGGACATGACAGAGAGCAGACCGCTAAAAGTATCCGTTTAAAACATTCAAAACTAAAATGCGAATATCTTCATGTACCGCATGTACGCTTGATGTACCGTATGTAGGCTTGATGGTGGTGGTAAGGAGCATTTTTGCAGAAGAAGCTACTAAAGGAGGAAGACGTCCTCCACCGTCACAACGAAATCGCATGGATACTTTCACTTCCATGTACAGAAGGTCTCCCTGATGCCGTCCGGACGATCGTGTGTGTGCCTTCAACGACCCAATTCGCAGATCAGGAGTGAAGGCCTCCCTTTCACGTGGTGCCAGCGGAAAATCTACCCACATCATGGACACCGCATGCACGTTGGGTGTGTATCGATGGGAGCCAAACTGTGAGCCATCGCATGTTTGTTCACGATATTTTTCAACTCCACGAGAGCATATTTTCACAGATCTTTGCCGTGCATTCACTCTCGAGTCACTACGGGTGAAATGTGAAAGACGATTCCTCGCAACAGCATTCATTTCAAACCAACAAGGACACACGCGGCCCCTCATATTCGCGTCGCGCACGTCCCCGTCCCACTCGCACGTGGACCAAAACACGATCTACCGATTACAGCATGAACTGCAGGTCTGTGTTCGGCAGCCCATCTCCGAAGTACGCCCCGCCGTAGTCCCCTGTTTCCGCCTTCGCACGTCGGCGGAGAAAACAGACGACAACATATTGTGAACGGGGGTGGATTAAGGTGAGTAGACAGAGTACGAGGCCGTCAGACCGCAACGAAATGTTATGCGGGGCCTTGACCGAAGGGTTGCACGAACAAAGGTTTTGCTGTTCGCGTGCTATCGCAGTTTGTTCGCATCCTACGCAGTTTGACTGGACGAGCGCAGAGAATCGTTGCCTGGAAGGCACAGCAGCATTCGACAGTCGCGCGGAGGGCACACGGCTCACTTCGAGCACCAGCTAGAATGAACACAAAAACAATCGAAGAGAGATCTTGGAGAAAACGTGTTCCCCCTCCTCTTTGCCGGGTGCATGCTTCCTGGTCAACAGCGACATCTCCCCTGCATGTCATACATGATGACGAGAGGGTTCGTTCATTTCTTCTTGTTCCGCACTCGAAAGACCTCCTGCCCCAACAGAATATTTCTTGCGGGCGACGCACAAATGAATGCCAATTTCGCTCGTCGGAGCGGGCGGAAAATCTAAACTCCCCACCACTTCTACATAGATTGATGTTGGCTCTGCTCCAAAGTGGTAGAGCGTGTTGCGTCTGGCGTATTCGTTGTAATGGAGCAAGTCTGTCGACAGTAACTTTCGTGGTATCCAATGGAATGGTTCTACTTTTTGGTGTCTTTCCCCAAATTAGGCCACCTCAGACTACTGCCTACACTTGGTTGTATTGGGCGCGCACCTCGTGAAAGAAAAAGTATCCTGGCCACGCTAGACTGCGCAGTACCGAGCACGAGACCGAGGGGTTCATCGAAAGCGTCCAGCACCCCGGCGGCTTGTCGGCGGCGATGGGGTCAAGGAAGTCGGCATCTCTCACCAAGCCCTTCTTCGTAAGCGCCGCGATGGCCTGGTGGGAAGAGGAGGATGGAAGGGAGGTACGGGGCCATTCGCAGTCACGCCACGAGACAGGAAGGGAAGGGGGGAATTTAACAGAGAAGAGGTGGATCCTGATTCCCGATTCTGTTGGGTAGATGAATTCGGGGGGGGAAAGCAGGGTCGGGAGAGCTCAGTATAATTGTTTATTTGTGTGTTCCGCACCCACCTCGATACTCTCCGGGTTCCTGAAGTGAAAGTAGCTTCTGAGATCTTTTGCCGCCTCTACCGACAGGCCCTCGAAGTTGCGGTGAGGCCGGATCTTGCGGGACGCCTGAATGAATCCAAAACACCCAAACACAGGCGCAACATGGTTGCCTCAGGGCGCGGGTAGAGTCCTCTTTGCGGTGGTTCAGCATCTCCCGCGAGGATTCGGGAGAAACAGCACCACGGTTCACTCTCGTGCGGGCGTCGGCAGCCATTGCGAGTACGACAGTAGATAACTCCTCTTTTCCCGCTCACTCTTTCAGTGCTCCATGGGAAACCCAAGAATGACTCGCGCCTCGAAACGTGCGGATTTCTGATGCGTGGGTTCGTGCCGTGTATCTTACCTCAACAAGGAGGGCCCCCTTGGGCACCACGGCCACGGCCCGGTCGATGGTTTTCACGATGTGAGCCAGGCGGTGCATCTCCAAGAATCGCTCCGGGGGGCGGGGCTCCTTCGCGGATCACGCGGTATCATGGTAGGCGTATCGACGAAACATGTATAGGGAGAAAATGACGCAGACGGGGGTACTCACGTTTTGCATGCCCTAGCGGTTCGACCTTTGACCACGCGTCCTCGAGAGGACGGACCATAGGACGCAGAGGGAAGGCGGGGGATAAGAGGCTACTTAGATGCTCGCTCTCGTTCCTTTCGTTTACGTTTGGCCGAACTTCGAGAAGGACGATGTCTGTGACGGTTGTGGTAGGTTGTGGAAAAGCGCCAGCCACACAACCCACGGCATTTTTTGCCCCATTGATAGCGGTGGACGCTACAAACGTGGCCATCGCGACGACACAAATTGGGCCGCAACCCGGGGAATGAAGTTGAAACCGAACAATGGCTTTCGTGTATGCAGTACCAATTTCTAACAACGCATCGAAGACAGAAAAATATACAGATATCGCCCGTACTTACGGACCTCTAGTGTTGGCCGAGACCGGGGTTCCTGGTTCCTCATGTAGGCTGCCAACGGCCGCCGTGTAGGTTTAGCTTTGTAAAGATCCCGGGCTCACACCAAGTGCTCAGGTTTCATGAAGTGCAAAGCACGAAGTTCTCAAGTACCACATGGTCGAGCGCTGCTGTTTCATGTATTGCTGAGCACGAAATTCTTAGCTGCCAAGCTGTCGAGTGATACAGTGTATGATGCAATGCCAAGCATGAAGCTCTTTAGGTAAGTGGCAGGTTCTCAAGCTCTACTGTTTGATGTATTGCCAAGAACGAAGTTCGTTTACTGCCAAGTCCTCGAGCGCTACTGTTTGATGTTATGCGCTAAGCCCGAAGGTACTCTCTGCCAAGTTCTCAAGCTCGGGCACTATCCGCATGGAAAGAGCCCGGGCTCGAAATGGGACCCAGGTGTGATGTTTGATGTCGTGTTGAGCGCGGAGTTCTTTACTGCCAAGCGTGGGCGCTAATTACGTCTATCTAGAAAAGGCACCTCTTCTTCGTCTTCCCCGGCAAGGGGCTCCTCCTCCTCCGGCTCCTCGTCGAGAGGAAGTGAAGGGTCCCCTCTTAGCCTCCCCGTCACAGCCGCCGCCAGGACCTCGTACTCGGGCTTCACGGACGGCATCAGGCGCAAGGACGTGTCGCTGCTCACGCAGAAGTAAAACTGAGGCAGGTGGGGGTGGGTGGGCGGGGGGGGGGGACAGGGGGCGTACTCTTATGTTTTGCATGCCTTAGCGGTTAGACCATTGACCACGCGTTCTCGAGAGGACGTAGCATTGTTCCCACAGGACCAATCACCGATGACCAATCGGTCCTTTCTACTTTGCCAAAGGTGGCTCAAAAATGTCTTCCCTAGTCTGTACATCCCAACGATATCCCTTGCCGCCTTTTCAATCTACCTCCTATGCCCCACTACAGCTACCGTCCTTTCCTCTCTTTTCCATGCCTCAAACATCTCCCTGTCTATTTTTCCCAGCCCAGTCACGCACACTTCCCTCTCCTTCTTGTACAACGGATATTCCGCGACTACATGAACACGGTCTTCGCATTCGAAGCCGCAATCACATTTGAACTCGTCGTCTTCCTCGTCTACCGTCCTATGTCTTCGTCGACGTTCTCGAAGGCCTATGTCCNCTTCTAGACTCTCCTTATCCTTGGATTCTTTCCTTAGAGTCTGTTCTTCTCTCTCGGCACAAGCATCAGATATCTTCTTCTTGAACCCCTGTAGACCCTCTGTTTCCAGCGTTTCATCTTCGTCGATGTCGAGCCCCTTCCATACGTCCTCTACAACCTTGACCCATTCCGTGGGTTGTCTACCCCTCTTTTTGTTTGCCCAGTTCGCCTCCCATGCAATTCTCGGCAACCTCTCCTTTCCCATCCGGCACATGCGATACTGCCATATCAGCTTCCTCGCGTCTCTTCCCGACCGTCGGGATTGGATCCCCAATTTTGCCCTGACGGCTGCATTACTTGTGCGCTTGGAGCATCCTAGGATGAT